TTCTATAATCGAAACAATGTATAACTCCAGCTCTGAGATCCCGGCCGGCTGAAAGCTGGTTTCTGGGGTTTTGTTTAGCTTCTATATTTGTTACAATGTTTCTTAGAGTTGCAGCTTAGAGGCCGGCAAGTGAGGCGGGGAACGTTGGAGTCTGCAGTCACTGGAGCAAGCAAGCCTCATGTTCGCTTCCAGCTGCCTGGCTGCCGGCCGCCATCTTGGCTGACAGTTAATTTGCATAAGGATATGCTCATTAGCCAATGGGAAGGGTAGCGGTCGTATGCTAATTACCATGTTTCTCTTTTATTAGTGTAGATATTTATTGATTTCAGAGAGGAAGGGAGAGGGAGAGAGAGATAGAAACATCAGTGATGAGTGAGAGTCACTGATTGGCTGCCTCCTGCACGCCCCCTCCTGGGGATGGAACCCGGGCATGTGTCCCTGACGGGAATTGAACCTGGGACCTTTCAGTCTTCGGGCTGAGGCTCTATCCACTGAGCCAAACTGGCGAGGGCTGCATTACCGCTTTCCAGTGACCTCTGTTTCCTTGTGACTGACAGGAGCCTCTTTTGTCTCCCCCCAGGTCATCTCTGCCGTGTCCAGACTGTCCCTGCACAATGTGGCCCAGAACAAAGGAATCAGGTAAGCCCTCCGCACAGGCCCCGCCCTCCACCTGCCCCCACAGTCTGGGCCCAGCCCTGCAGTTTCAGGCCTGTGTCTGGGTCATGAATCTTCAACGTGTTCCGTGTTCCGAGTCACCTGTTGGCCGCGGCTGGCAGGGCGGGAGGAGGGGGAGGCGTCAGCCCCCACCAGGAAAATCTCGCAGGCGTGCGGCTGATGCTGCAAAATCAGTTTCGATTTAGGCAATCAGATGAGCAAATTAGTCCTTTCACAGATCATTGCCTGCGTGCGTGCGCTCTGCACGCGCCGGGAGCGGTGGCTCCGTGGGAATGAAGGAGCTGGCGGTTGTCTGCAGCGACGGGGGAAGGTCTCCTGGCAGGAACGTCTCTGCTTGTGTCCGTTCTGCTCAGCATC